TTAATATTAAAATTATGTCTTATGTTACAACAGAACTTATTTCAGAAAACCAAGAAGAACCCAATACTTTTCAAGAAGCAGAAGAACTTGAAGTAGACACTGAATTGATTTCTGAAGAGTTATTATTGACTAGTTTATCAGAAAGCTCATTTGGTATGTACACGTGTATATTTTATATTAACTAGGTGCTGCTGGTCTATAAAATGTCAAGGAGGGAATTATCAAAAGGGGAATGTGAGAGGCTGAGAAAAGACGTAAATTCTTTTTTTTGGATTTGCTTATAGAAGACGACATGGAAGAAGAACTTCTGATAGATGAAACATTATCACCACTTGAAAAAATATCTTTATATGTAAGAAGTGAATTAGCATTTCATAGGTAAGCAAATAATATTTTATACATTGATTTTTTGTTTATTGTTTATTACATAATTTAGATTTATACAAATTTGTCGAGCTCTAGTTTTATCAGCATTCCCTAAACCTGAATTTGAAAGATATTTCATCCCTATTTTGAAAAATTTTTCAACAGATAATGTTGTTAATGTTAGAATTACATTAGTAAGACTAATTAGAGATTTATGTCGAATAGGTATACTTTGAATTAATAATTATTTTTTTTAATAGTAAATTAGTTATTTAGTTAATTAATTAATTGATTAATTATGTATTTTTTTTAATAAGAACAATATTATCAGGATCCAATGAGCAAATCACAAATCATTGATATGATTAAACAACTTGCAGAAGATCCTGATTTTGATGTCCGCTCATTATTATTTATGACATTATCACATGAAGAAAGATTAAAGTTTATTACGACAATACGGCAGCAGCCAACGACAGATATAAAATCGATGAACCCACAAGAAAAATTAAATGCTATAGATGCTAAAAATAATGATGATAATAATGATAATAACAATAACAATAGTAACAATATTGATAAAGATGTTAACGCAGATAAAGTTAATGTTGATAACAATGCTGATGTTGATAACAATGTTGATGTTGATAACAGTAATGATAATACAAATAATGACAATGATAACAATAATGATAACAGTAGTACCAATGCTAACAATGCAGTATCAATAGTGAATCACCATCAACAATAGAAAATAATTCTGAACTAGTTGGCACGATCATTGGTGAAACTCTAATTCATATATAAAAACCAATAATATCATTATTGTGGATAATAATAATAATACTTGACTCATGTTATCAACACTTTATTTAAAAATCTCAACTATCAATTAATTGCTTTCTTTTTCATAAAATTGAACAATTTCTA